ATGGGCGATCAAACCTGTAGCTCAACTCATTATTCTTAAAGATCTTGTTAAAATAATGTTTAGATCTGGAGACAACATATTTTCCAAACAGCTGATTAATGAGTTTGAGCAAATCACTGAGCTGAGAACATGTAATATTATGTCGAGCAGCATGGCTCATAATCATGATTAGTGCTTCAGCCCTGGTTGTAGTACCTGTTGCAGTTAGCTTGGAGTCCATATCAGGATCTTTCCCTAACATCCCAAATGGATTACCCACACTAGAGTCCAGGGGCGGACTGGGACTACAAATCAGCCCGGGACTCTCGACCGGCCCACTTCGGTACCGCCGGCCCACCTCGGTACCGCAAGTAAATTATCAACGGGGGGGTGCTAGTGAGTTATCCGACCGGCCCACTTCAGTACCGGCCCATCGGGATTCGTCCCGAACGTCCCGATGGCCAGTCCGCCCCTGCTAGAGTCTGAGTCACTGTCATCTGAGAGAGATTCTTGTTCCTCTGAGAGAGCTGAGTCATCATCTGAGAGCGCTGAGTCATCATCCGTCAGAAAATAAAACCCTCTCTCTTTTCCTCCGTACCCAAATCTTTTAAAAACGGGTGTACAACGAGCGGATACAGATTTCCATCCGAACTGACGTGTCCATCCGAGGTGACGTCAGCGGACCCACAGAAAGTTGCTATCAGAAACAATGCCTGACGTGTTTTGGACGTAATCTCGTCTTTGTTTACATTAGCAAGCCTCGCTAACACTCAGAGCTAACCTGTACTGGAGAGCACATGTGTTTAAAAAGCAGGAATTAAAAAAAGAACTCACCTTGTGATAAACCTGCAAGAGAAAAAGCATTTGAGCTCCATACTGTTTCAGAAATAATCCTTGACGTGGTTTAGAACAGGATGGGGTTTTATCACAACCGAATTTAACTTTATCTCTGTTGGCATAATCTAAATCAGGGGTATTCAACTAAAATTCAAAGAGGTCCAGTTAGAGAAAATGTCCCCATGCAAAGGTCCGGAACATCAAAATGTCTAACTTGCTTTATGAATTAGTGTGATATATATTGAAGTAGTCTGTAGCTTTATCAACGTCTGCATGTAATCAACAACCGACTGCCAATCAGATAAAGAAAGTACAATTCAAAAACAACAATATTTATTGTCAATGAACATTGAACTATACAGATATACAGTAAATACTGTGGATATGTGTAATGTTCCTCTCGGGCTGCATTTAAAAATAAAATAGAGAAATAAATAAAATAGCTTTGTTAACCGTTTCACGTCATGACTTAACAGTTTCAGACGATTATCGAACAATATCAGTCTTTACACATCATAACAATTGAACAGTTTTAAAGTTTCTCTTTCTTTCCCTCTTATATTGCAGTCCCTCACTCACTTTTTTTAATTCAGTGCGAGAATTGAGCTTGAGCTTGTCCTGCCAGGAGTTTAGATCTGGGCTGAAATGGTGTCAGGGCCATTCTCATACACTCATGCAGGTGCTCATTGGTTAGCCTCGGTTAGCTTCGGTTAGCTTCGGTTAGCCTCGGTTAGCCTCGGTTAGCCTGCCCTGGAACCATATTTAGTTTTTGTGACCTCCGTTCTGACTTGAGAGGGAATGTTTGGTCAAACACTTTGTGTTTTGTCTCATAGTGGCGTTTTGGCACTTTTAATGAGCGCCACGGTCTCTGAACAAATGAGACACACTGGCTCTGTGCTCCCAGTGGGCAGGAGGAACATGAATGAGTCCACTCAGGGTTAAAAGCTCTGTTCTCACTGTCCACTTTCCTCTTCTTGGAGAGCGCCATGTGTAATTATTTGTCTCTCCCTGTCTGCCGCTAACTCGCCTGTTCACTCTCCTCTCCGTCTTCTCTCCCTGTATCGCTAATTATTCTCTTCACTCACTTTCCTCTCCACTTCTCTCTGCCGCGCTCTCATCTCTTCTTCTGTGTTTCTCTCCCTGTATCGCTCACTCGTCTCTTTCGCCCCCTGTCGGAGGCAGTTAAAATAGAATCGCCCCGTCAAAATTGAAATCCCCTATTAATGTATTGATTATAGGTCCCGGTCCGTATAGGTCGGCGTCTGGGTCCGGATCCGGACCGCGGTCCGCCTGTTGCCGACCCCTGATCTACATGGTTCAAGAGGCGCACACGGTAAATGTTTCTCTTTTGTTGATATGTGTGACTGTTCATTTCTTATAGTTTACATACGTCTTCGGAGAAAGAGAGCGAGAGGGAGAGAATAAACCTTCAAAAGACATCAGTATGTTCGTGGCCTTATTTATTGGACCGGTGTAGCTACTCTTCCTATATTTGTGCGTAAATCGGTGGTTAAAAGCCGAAAAGCATCACATTCACCTCCAGAGTTCCCCCATAATGTTGCTGAACACCGCCATACACCGGGGACGATACTGAGGTGCGAGCTCCCTGCACGCAGCATGAGAAATTGCTTTTTTGTCGAGGGAACTGGAAGAAGCTTCCTTAACCCGGGTTTTAGGACGCGTCACTGTGGCACTCTATTTGGATCAGGCTCGAGCAGGCGGGAGTTAGACTCTGACGTCACTGTCGAGACGTTAGTGGCCGACACCGCCTACTATGGGCTTCTCAGCAACTCTGCAGAATCCTATGGGGACGTCACGGACACTACGTCCATTTATATATACAGTCTATGGTTTATATGCAAAACAGGTTTTATTAAAAAAATTCAGAACTGTACATTTAAAAACATGAACATTAACAAATTAAACGAGAACGAGTTATTTCTTTAAAAAACTTGAATGTATCCTTATTTTCAGGAAGAGGTATTTTCAGAAAATGTAAAACAAATGTATTAAATAAATAACCAAAACGTTTAGGAATGTCTCTTACCTTATAAATATAAATACAAAAATGTAAAACAAATATTTTAAAAATGAAATTTGCATTGACTGTGCACCGAACACTGAGGGAGGACGACATGTTTTCAGAGCAAAGAGATGACATACGTCCAACGGACAAAAGGATGTAGGAGGGGCGCTGTGGAGCAGACGACGACCACAACACGCTGCCCTCAGCAGAAAAAACACTTCCTGGTAGCGGCCGCTCAACACACGAGGACACAGAATCAGACATCTTCATGACTCTTGGAGGATTTCTTCTTCTGTGTCCCTTTAGAGACTCCGGTCTTCTTTTTCTCCTTGCCATCTTTTCCTTCGACACCAGTGCTATCTTCACTAATTTTATTTTTCTTCTTCTTCTTGGGCTCAGACGGTGTCTCATCAGTTTGTTCTTCAATCAGGGTCAGAGTGGGCGTCGCTGCTCTGTCTTCTACAAGAAGAGTACGTCCAAAAAGACAGCGCCTGAGATGGAAAGCATCAACGCTGTGTCTACTCTTCCTTGTTGGTGTTTCTGTCTTCTCTTTCTCCTCCATTGTCTTATTCTGTGTGTTCTGTTTATTGGGAGGGATGTTTTTTGCGGGAGGCTTTGCCCGGGATTTCCTCACTCTGTTTTCCACTGGTGGTGGTGCAGCCGAGTCCAGCGCATTGATGGTGTCCATCTTGGCCATGTCTGCATCTGTTGACAGAGTAAACATGATGAAGACATTAAACCAACGACTAGGTGGCACAAATGCTTAAAATAAAACATCAACAGTATCCACACAGCTTCTGTGCACAGCTCTGTTTGTATTAAATCACTGTTTCCCATGGTGATGTCATTCATTGGAGTTGTGGTTTTCCATCTTCCAAAATGTCCAGCATTTTCCAACCCTCTTAACTTTCTCCACCTTTGATTCTATCTCTTTCTCAATGTAAAAAAGACATATGTTTCATCTTATCTCGGGAGTATCTGACTTAATCTTAATTATTTAATGTCTTCGGGAATATTACCATTAGCTTCATTTGAAAGCGCTAGGAAATTATGATTGGAAAACTGTGATTGATCCTTATCCTTTACACACACTTGCACAACAATGTCCTTTGTCAGACCCACGTCCTACCTGTCATCTGCTGGAGGAGTTTCTTCCATTTACCTACGTCCAGACTGTCAGAGTCAGAATCCTCTCCAGCCACAGTTTGGGTCTTGGATTCTTTTGCCTTGATTTCTCCAGATTTACTTTGACTTTTTTTCCTTTTTGCCAGCACAGTCTAGATGAAAAAAAGAAAAGAAACAACAGCCTAATAAGTAAAGTTGAACAAACATGCGTTGAACAAGTTACTAAACCAGTGGAAGCATCCATTGAAACTCAGTGTGCTGCTCTGTGATGCAAATTAGTTTAAGCCAGATACTTGGCATCTCATCTTGGGTGCAAGTTGATCAATGTTTGATACCAAGTCCATCTGAGACCTGTGTACACCTTCAGACAGCCTACAAGTGAAGCACACATTGTTTTAGTGATGTGACGGTCGCTAACGAGCTGATTCTTTTGAACGGCTCTTTGGTACGAACGAGTACCAGCGTCTCCAGCGCTTTCGAATGGCAATGGCCGTGGCTGTCTCCTCCTGATTGGTGGAGTTGGCCCAATAGCCGTAGCGCCACCGTCCTGACGTCAGGACAGTGTTCAAATCTGGATCAGTTTTTATCAGATCCGTTGCAGCCCCTTTTTTTTAGAGATTTGGGTATGGAGGAAAATAGAGAGGGTTGTGTTTTCTGACACTTGGTGAGTTCCCTGGAACACCGGGGACACATATTCATGTAGAAAAGACGTACAAAAGTGCATTTTGCATGAGAGGTCCCCTTTAACACATACAGAGGGTAAATTCAAAGTAGTACATTCACTGACATGAATGACATGGATATGGCGCCACCTTGTGTCATGTTTACAATGCAGATTATTGACATTAGGTCTGGCAATACAGTCAATCATTATCCTGGTGATTATTTCTAATTATAATTAACTTCCAAATGAGTCAGTATAATGATTTCAATAATGACAAGCAACGTGTGGTTATTATTTATTGTTGTAAGGTAATGTAGCTAGCTTGTTAAACCCACTAGCTAAGTCATAATGGATAATGTTAGCTAGAATTGGCATCCTATTTTGTAAAACCTACCATTAGGCATAATTGGTCACTTCAGTTTGTTAATGTTATATCCCCGAAGTGTGATTACGTAACTAGCGTGGGGACTTTATTTACATAGCTAATGGCGCAGTTGCTATTTATTTTCATGTGTAATGTTGGTGTGTTTCAAGACTTTGGGAGACAACGGTACTGCATGTCACGAAGGGACAGATTCACCTCCAGCCAGTGATGCTGGGCTTATAGACCCAGAGCAAGAGGTCGTCTCTCCACTGGTTCCTCAACCAACATCTGTGCTTCACTGCGGCTCACAGTGTAACCTCAGACCTTTCCATCGTTCATCAGGTAGTGTAAATGTAACACAGAAGTAGCGCGCCCATTTGACACCAAAACGCGGTAAAGACTCGGCATAGCTTTGTACATGTTATAAACATATTAGAAAAACATCTCAGTATGATGCAGGCTGTTACAACTCCAACACTTGCTATGACCTCAATAATTAACATATCAATGAATTAAAACATCTCAGCCCGAATGTCAACAAAACCTGAACATAAGCTTTGTAAAGGTAGATGTTATGGCAGGGCTGTTGTATTGGATTGCATTACATTGTACAAGTGTATCTAATAAAGTGGCCACTGAATGTATGATGTTTCACAATTATATAAGGCCAACCTCTTTTTATCCTAGCTGTCCAGGTGCAGCCCAGGATGGTCAGTGTGTGGTGTCAGACAGAATCTCCACTGCCCAGTCCCGCACACAGTGATGATGAGTCATCCTCTGTTTCCATGGACCACCCTGGGGATATGGAGCCCAGAGGAGGAAATGATGAGCGAGTCGTCTGACGAGGAACCATCAAAAGAGCCACTGCAGCAAACTAATTTTGATCTCAAGTAAGGCTTCTTTTAATTTGAGATGATGTGTGTTACCAAATTGTGTCAGTCAGAAATAACAAGTGTTTTTTTTCTTTTTTCAGTGCTGCTGACAAGTTCATTGTGTGCCAAAGCCAGCTGATGTCCTTGTTCACCATTTGCCCTGCCTGTTGTGGGGAAACCCAGGGTTATGTGGAGCAGCAAGAGGGAACGTATATCAAGATAAAACAAGAGGATTTGTGTGAATTCCACTGATGTAAAAATAAAGGTTGTATCATAACCTGTATGTAAATGTTTGTTTTATTTTTATGTTGTATCAATTCACTGTGTATATACTTCATTAGTTTTATGGTATAATTGATTTTTGACTGACTAAGAGTTGTACTGGCAATGTTCTGCTTTTCACATCTCTTAGGTCTGTGCAACATGTGAGTATGAGCGTTTTTGGCAGAACCAGCCAATGCTGCACAGAAACATGCCAGCCTGCAACCTGTTACTGAGTGGGGCCATCCACTTTTCAGGTTGCATGGCTACCCAGACAATAAGGATGTTGAAACTGTTTGGGCTTCAGTGCATCAGTGCCAGCACCTTCTTCCGCCATCAACGCCTGTACACAATCCCTACTATCGTGCAGGCCTGGCAAAATGAGCAGGCTGGGATCATCCGAGAACTGAAGGAGATGGGGGGGTGGGCTAATCCTCTCTGGTGACTGCAGGTAGAACACTTCAGCTTGTATTATTGATATAGAAAAGAGGTCAAAACAATATTTAAATTACATTCATTTAGCTTTATCCATGTTTTTTGGGCTTTAACGTCTGAATGAAACAGTTTTTGACACTCATAGGTCAGACTCTCCTGGCCATTGTGCCAAATATGGCACCTACTCCTTGATCGAGGACAGAATAAACAAGGTTTTGGATCTTCAACTTGTCCAGGTAAGTTAACGTTATCAGTCACACAAATCAGATGTGCTTTCGTCTGATGTGACACGGTTAGTGATAGGACTGCATAATGTTGTTTTACAGAGCTCAGAGGTCCCAAGCAGCACCTGGTGTGAACTAGAGGGTCTGAAACGCAGCATTGACTTCCTTAAGGAGCAACACATGCAAGTTTCAGCCCTTATTACGGACAGAAATCGCCAGGTAAAGACACACAAGAACGAACAGACATATGGACACACAAGATTCTTGGCGCACCATATTAACAGCAACAAATACATTTTCTTTCTAGTTAGTAAGTAATTAAGGTGTTGTGTTTCACTCTTTAGGTTGCCAAGTGGGTGCGGGAGGAGTTGTGTCCAGGAGGAACGAGTCATTTCTTTGATATCTGGCATATTGGTAAAAGTATGTATCTTGATGTTGGTATGTTTGATTAGGCTCGCTTTTGTTTATAATTACATTTTCTTTTTTAACATTTTGTTTCTGTTGTGAAACAGGTCTAGGGAAAGCTTTGGATGCTGCTGCAAAGGAGAGGTGAGGACCTGAAGCTGTGGAGGCCAGCCATCATTAATCACCTGTACTGGACTGCAGCTTCCACTCCTGATGGAGATCCAGATGTGATGGAAGCCAAGTGGCAAAGTATGGTGAATCATGTTCAGGACATCCATGAACACGGCACTCCTGCATTTCCCTGCTGTGCACATCCACCTCTGGAGGGAGAAGCAAGGGACAAGGAGTGGCTGGAACCAGGTACAACGTACTCTGTACACTGTTGCTGACAATTCTTAGTCGTCCAACTGCTTGTTGGTGCTTAGTTTATTTTGGTTCCAGAGCACTCCATCAATATATAACCCAAAGTGTGCTAACACATTAACAAGGCGTTATATAAATAACACCTGATAGTATCACACAATCGTGCTTCATCAGTGTAGGTAATAAATGCATATGTAGACAATTCTAGTAACATCAGAACAAAATCTGTGTTTATGCACAACTGCAGCCATTAAACTGGAGAGGGTGACTTCAAGAACAGCATTGGTGAAGGATGTTCGGAAGTTGTCTCCAGACCTATTCCCTGGAGGCATTTCACTCCCTCATCCTCCACTTTGCACCAAAGCACACTGGGTTCTCCTTCCTTGGGATGTACAGCAGGTAAATATGATGTGATGAAAGAATGTGTACGGCTTAGGGACAACTTGTGAACTGCATAATCTGCTTTTCTACAGGCTTCTCATGGCAGCCCTGCACTTTAACCACAATAGCAGCAGAGAGGTTGCTCGAACCAGTGATGGTGAGGTGCGTTATGCAGTTTGCTACCCAAGGTTCTGCAAAGGTGGCTGGGTAGTTCGCCCTATCAAGGAGAAGCCATCATACGGTTAGCTGTTTTACTCGGTCCCTAAATATTATTTATTGTGTGATGCATCTATAATATCACTGAATGTGATCACTTGTTTCCTTCCTTCAGCATACGCTGCAGCCCTGATGGAGTCTCTGAGAGAGGGCTACTCCAGGTCACCAGAGACTCTACGGGAGAGCAGTGCAGTCTTGTCCTCCACTGCCCCTGCCCCCCTTTCCACGTCCTGCCAGGAGATCGCCAAGGATGAGGCAGTTGGCCTTTATCTTGCACGGCATTCCCGGTTTAACACAGGACATGAGTGTGAAAGCAGCAGATTCTGTGGTTCACAGTTTTCAGGTTAAGATTATTCTAAATTGTCATTTGTTTATTTGTTAGATAAAACCTGGTAAGAGATTTTGATGAAATCTGGTAAATAATTGGGCCAAGGATCAAGTTATTGAATTAAAAAAGTGTTCTCAACATTGCAAGATAGCCTCTCTTTCTCTTCCTCCCTCTCTCTCTCTCTCTCTCTCTCTCTCTCTCTCTCTCTCTCTCTCTCTCTCTCTCTCTCTCTTCTCTCTCTCTCTCTCGTCTCTCTCCCTCTCTCTCTCTCTCTCTCTCTCTCTCCTCTCTCTCTCTCTCCTCCAGGTGTCCATGATGGAGAGGGAGGTTGTGTGGCTCAGGCTCTATCTGTTTGGCTACACCTGGAAGCTGCTTGACATCCTCTCGGATCCATTTTCGTCATGTTTACATTTATATGTATAATTTTGTAATGGTACTCTGTACGCACAACAACTATAGCATCTCCAGGGTCTGTCCAGGGACAGGGATCCCTCGGTTGCTCTTCCTGAGGTTTCTTCCATTTCCCCCCCCGTTAAAGGGGTTTTTGGGGAGGTTTTCTTTCTCTGTATGTCGTACAGATTGTAAAGCCCCCGAGGTAAATTGTGATTTGTGATATCGGGCTATATAAATAAAATTGACTTCAAAAATTGACTGATGAAAAAAAAGTTTGTATTTATACAGTTATGTTCACTAGTGTTAGGCTGCTGCTGCATGCAGGCCTAACCATAAATGCAGTATCTGTTCGATTATATATAGCTGATCTAAACTTCTTAAGATGTTTTTATACAATAAGACACTATGATTGTGATACATTTTATTGATCGTCACCAAAATGAGGCCACTCAAAACCTTTGTAAGTTCCTCCTCCTTCTGGGAACTGTCTTCTGATGGCAGACACAACACATGAGGGTAAGGGCTTCCTAATGTGCCTGCCTAGAACTCCATAGGCCCAGCGGATGACCTGCCTGTAAGCTGTGTAGCGGTATTGCCTGGGGATAGGGACATAATATCTACAGGTAAACTTGATAGCCTTGTTAACATCATCAACAAGTGTGATATAGGTGGTGATGGTGTAATTATGGTAACATTGTAATAGAGAAACAGACAAATTAGTCAATTGAGTTTTGATATTGTCTCCAATTAATTATCTACATATAAATATATACTTCATAGCTGTACTATTTGCAATTATTATTAAACCCTTTCAACTTGACATAAAAGATGCAGTATAATTAAAATCTACAGGTTCTGGGTTTTGAAACCTGCTAAACACTCGGGGTCAATAGCAACTTTATTATCTTGGGCCACTAGGCTATAATAGTATTTATCTTTTTAATTGTAATCTAAACATACTCATGTCTGCTGGCCTGGAGCGGGCCATGCTCCTGCCTGAAGTTCATGTCGGCTATCTGTAGCACAAAGGGATTCAGACAGCATGCTTCAAAGCCTGGGTGCAGTGTCAGGCATGTTATGTCTGGTCTGGGGGTGAGGTTCTCCACCAGGGCCCAGAAGGCATCCACCTCCCTGCAGCACATACTCTCCACAGCTGAGGTCATGGGCTGGCATTTCCCACACAAGCACCTATCAAACAAAACGTTTAAACCGTATTACATCTCTCTCCCCCCCTTCGCTGCTCTCTCTCTCCTTTCCGGTACAGCTCCGTAAGACGTAGTGTGGAGTTGCATTAGGTAACGCGAGATACGGCTGATACTTGCGCATTAGTTTCTGTTATGGATCAGTATTAACAGTCCTGCCAGTAACGTTACTATATTATCAATACTACTTTAGTTATAGCCTGATATATGATAGCTAACTTTACAATGTTGTGATGTGACCGACGTTAGCTAACATTAACTGTAGCTAACGCCGGTCACTCACCAAGACAGCTGCCCAGTTCTCCACTGGTTCTCCTCACACCACAGCTCCATTTCTCTCCGATGGCCGTTATTTCTTCTAATCCTTGGCTGCTCCTGGTCTCTTGGACGCCTAGCAGGCTCATAATTATAAGGTTGTGGTCCGTCATATGCATTCGAATATACATTTTCAACCTCTTCTGTGTCAAAACTAGCATTGTGATCCATGTTTATTCATACTAGACCGGCCGCTCTCCCCCATGTGACGTCACACGCGGGAGGTCACATGGGGAGGCTTTTTTTTATGCGGAAGTAAAAATGTCTTACAAAAACGACGCCAGATGTCACTGTAGTGTATATTTATATTTTTTTGAAAATCATTTATTCACTGGTGTGTGAAAAAAGACCACAAAGATAAAAGCATAAACGTTAAGATAGAAACGAAAACATGTTCACAGCAGAGTAACAATTATGAATATATGTTTGTAGTTCTCAACGTGAGTATCCTCGTCATTCGGTTTGTGTCGCTGTATCGACGCCAGTGGCGGCTGGTGGCCTTTTTTTTTGGTGGGGCTCTTGACATATAGAATCAAGCGGAGAAATTACCCCTTAAATTATGACTTCTGGTGATGTTAGAGGGGGGGGGGGAAGGAGAAATCGAGGCTTAAAAATATGAGAAGACTGATCATTACCTCCATAATCTTCAGTGTGGAAAATATTATTTATCAACCTCAACATCTACCACTGTACCAGGAATTTGTATTCTCAGAACTGGTTTTTTCTTTCTTAAAACTGTTCATGTTTTATGAACCAACACCTCCACCAAGTGGCTTTACAGTGAACTGCATGTGGGATATAAAATTAATAGCATCTTTTCAGTAGCATTAATTATAAATATGTAAGTGGTTCAATACAAGTCACTACAGCATTTCAAACTGAACTGTGAATAAATGCAATTTAAAAAAAAATACCACAGCACAAAACGTCATACATTGTGTTTTTTCTTTGTTTCTCTGAGGATTATTTACAAACAGGTTTATTTACATATAGCAATAACTCAGAAATAAAAAAGCTACATCGTTTAACACGAACAACCAGTTAGCATAATGATAATATATGTGTTATGTACAATGTAACTGGCAAGGCTAGAGCAAGAAAGAACATAACGTTTGCAAAAGGTTTAAATAACTTCAAGTATCTTTCTTCAGATTATATGGAGGTTTTAGTCCGATGGGAAGCAGATTTTAAGCGACACTCTTTGTTTGAAGAGCAAGCATGGGAAACAAAAGACAGCATTTACCTGTTTGCATCCAGCTAGCCAAGCCTTTTTGGTGTACCAGCTACGTGTGAAGCCTTGTGTATAAGTTTTGTCTTTTTCACGAGATTGCTGCGATATATTCAAATCGGGTTGGTCCGGTCCAAGGTCTTTAAGCAACAATTTATCTGCCAAACTTCTCCTTTCGAAAGGATTGGAGATTAGGCGGGGACCGAGGTCCGGAGACTCCATCTGCACACGAAGCCATCCTCATCAACTACTGCGTCACCCGGATACGAGTCACTGTCCAAACTACTCACAGACTGCACCGGGCGATGACATTGGCGCCCGGTGACCATCAGATTTGACGACGCTAATTGGCTGAAATTATGTTTCGGCGGCATAGTTTACACGTTACAGATAGCAACAGTCAGCTGCTAGTGGCTGCTGCTGCACTGGTTGAGGGCTCCTCTCTTAGCGCCCAGACGAGAGAAGGTACACGGGCAAGGCCAGGCAGGAAACATGTGACTTATCAGTAACTTTAGACATCGTAACACAATTTTAAATTAGATTTTATTGTAGATTATACATTTTACTGATACCAATTATATAATATTTACCTTAAAAATAAAAATAAATTATATTTATTTTTATTTTTAATATGGGAAGAGGTGGGGCGGCACACCTAGCGCCCCTATGGACCGGCCGCCACTGATCGACGCATAACTAAAGTTAAACAGTCACATCTTATCTGGATAAGTGGTGCAAAGTGCAGAATACCGTTTTGATAAGGGAGACATGTGTGTAGACTTTACTATTAAACACAATCGCTGGTAGATAGCCACAGAAGTCGTATCACAAGTTATCCTGGGCGGATCACAGCTCCACAGCTGAAGACTTCTCCACGCTGCTTTCAAACTGTGAGTAAACAACGTGTGCTTCACTTGTAGGCTGTCTGAAGGTGTACACAGGTCTCAGATGGACTTGGTATCACATTAAGAACGATATTCAGTAATAAGTCTGGCAAAAATAACTGGTTTAAATGATTTATTCAAGCTTGCAATGTTTTGAACAGACATCCCCAGTCAGCTCATTGTCATTTTGTAGTCCTCGCTTCGCGTCCGGATATCGGCATCGCAACCACAACCTCACTGGTACTGAATGTGCATGTAAACGACAGAAGAAGATTTCCGTGTGTGTGTGTGTGTGTGTGTGTGTGTGTGTGTGTGTGTGTGTGTGTGTGTGTGTGTGAGTGTGTGTGTGTGTGTGTGTGTGTGTGTGTGTGTGTGTGTGTGTGTGTGTGTGTGTGTGTGTGTGTCATCATACCGTCTTTAACATACTGTCATTCCTTCCTTCATTTCCTATCATACTATCATACATAAATAACTATTCTCTCTCACACACAAAAACAACATCTCTTAAACGCACCATCATACTCTCGTACACACACCACTATCGACTTTCACAAACAACTATAATCTAATAGAACATTATAATAGTGTATGTGAAAGAGGATAGTAGTATGTGTGTAATCGGTAAACAATGTATGTAAGACAGAATAATAACCTATATAAGAGGGAATAGTATTTCATGTTAATAACAATAGTCATTTATGTAAAACAGAATAGCAGTGAATGAAATTTAATTATTATGTTATTATGTTGCATTGTTGGAGAAGCCTGTGACATAAGATTTTCAACTACATAATTACTCTGTAGCTATGTCAGATTGACAATAAAGAACCTTGAACCTTGAACCTTGAAAGGCAGAATAATAGCTTATATAAGAGGTAATAACAGTTCATGTGAATGACTATAGCAGGGGTCGGCAACCTCTTTGATATGAAGTGCCATTCCAAAAAAAAAATGTTATCAGCGTGCCGACAATCGTGAATTATCAACAGGGGGGGGGGGGGGGGGGGGGGGGTTGAAGAGCTCGACGAAAACACTCGGAAAAGTGATGTTTAAAACTCAGTTAATGGGGCTCATTCACTGGCGCTTCCACAAACAACAACCAACATAATTGTTACATTCAAATGAAGTAGCCTACATTATTCAAGTTTACATTAACTTTGGATAATAACACGGGAGAAAAGAGCGGAAGCGCTCTCTTTTCCTTTCTCCCCCTCTCTCTCTCTCCTGACAGCCTGTCAGTATCTCATGCAGCTCACTGATCCAGTAATAAGTGACAGTGAAGAATAAATATATTTATAACTAGTTCCAAAGGTAAATAAAATAGCTAAGTGTGTTAGGTCTAACTCTTGTGTGTTCTGCTCCGCTCACCGGTCCGTCACAGCGGGTGGAGCTGCAGGATTTCTGCTTCACACACGTTGCAAACCGCTATTTTATTGTCATTTTCGGACACCTTAAAATACTGCCAGACTGGTGAAGCGATTTTGGCGAGCTTGTTTTGCCGCACACAGAGAAAAGTGTCATGTATGTTACGTCTCGCGATCGGCCTTTTTAGAGAGCACCGATCGATCGGCAGAGAGTGAGTATCGGCCGATATCGATCGCCACG